TGGAAGTGAGCCAATGAAAGAGAGGAGATCCTGGGTGACGTGCACCATAATGCACGTAAAAGGGGTCTTTCCTTCTTAGCAGGGCTGTTGTGAGAACTTACAAAGTGACCAGTGAATTATCTAGCACCTGTCTGTGTGAATTCCTGCAGCGGATTCACTGTGCTGTGCAAGACCCCCATCTAGTTACGACAAGCAAGACGCGTGCCTGCCCTTGTGAACGTTACATGGACATTTCCCTTTCAGCAGAGTTAACTCAGGGGAGATGACTACCATCTGTTGGAGGCTCACAGGAAGCCCCATAAGAGAGGGACTGCCACGATTCACGTGGACATGGAAACGGAATTAAGACCAATTGATGGACGTTCAAAAGTAGTCACTCAATGGAAGGACGAACCTCGTTATAATCAGTGCTGACCGGGAGTGGAATAGCTGCCCTGAGAAGCAGTGAGAGGTGAGCTGGGGCTTGTACTGTCAGTGCACTTGCAGTGGTGCCCAGGGGCTTCCAGACCACAAATCAGGAATCACTGCTGCCTCTCCCCGCCGAGATCTCAGGGTCCAAAAGACGTGCATGGCCACGAGATTCACTGCTGCTGCTTCCTAGGTGGCTCACCGTGGACCCAGGGGAATGGCAGCGCTGACTGATCTCCTCATTCAAGCCCCCTCATCCTATTTCCATTCTCTTACTGAATCATTTGGGGAAGTTACCATTCTCAGTACCCTCGCTTCACCACAAATGTGCGTGTCTCCTGCCGGTTGCACAGACGGTGGCCCAGCTTCTTGCAGGGAGGCACAGTTCTGCAGTATCAGGCATCTGGAATCTAATTATCCTGCTCCAGGAGAAAAATAGGGAGGCTATTCAATTATGGCATAGTGGTTACGCATCAGGCTGTCAGCCCCAAGGTCAGCAGTTTGAAACTGCCAGGCCACTCCACAAGAGAAAAACTAGGCTTTCTACTCCTATAAAGAGTTACAGTCTCGACGATCCCTAGGGGCAGTTCTACCCTGTCCGATAGGGTTGCTATGAGTTAGAGTGGACTGGATGGCAGTGAGTATTAGATTATAAACAATGTCCCAGTTTTGTCCTCCCAAATGTAGGCTACTCATTAAGATGGTTGAAATCGGGGAGAAGGAAGCCTCCACTTGCCTTGTGTCTGTCATTACTTTTCTGATGTTAGTGTCCAAGTTTTAAAGAATGCTTTATAATTTGACACTTCATTTTCTCTCTTCCCATAATGGCCTGGATAATCACTTTCGTAATCCTAGTCCCCGATGATTGTGTATTAAATTGTACAGTTATGAAACACTTATTCATGGTTTCATGAATCCCTTGGTAATTCCCTGAAGTCAATGGAGCAGCTGGCATTGTACACAGTTTCAGATGAGAACACTGCAAACTAATGAAGTTCAGTCACTGGCTCTGGGTTGCTAAGTGTAGAGATTGAGCTGGGCATTGAACTCAACCCTTTGAATGCTCAACTTTGTGTTGTAGCCACTGAGCCACAAGGCCCCACATTTGGGCTGTGTCGGATTTGACACAGCACTTGCATTCTTCTGTAAGAATTTTAAACGAATGGATGGTGTGGTTTAATAAGGGAAAAAATCAGTAATAAAATAAAGTCACATATTTAGATGTTCAGTAGACACAAAATATGACCCTCCCCCCAAAAAATCTCCCAAATTAATTAGCTTCACTAATCATTATTCAGCATTATGTAGCAGGTGGTCATTAAATACTTCGTTGGATAAATGCGCTGGTCCTGTTATGGAACTTGGAGATAGAGGAGTGAGCAAGGCAAGCGGGCTGAAGCAACTGAGTGGATCACACTCCCGTTGACTGACACAGGGAGCAACAAGAGACAAAGCTCCTCTCCAAGCAGGCGGGATGATGGCTTCAGGGCATGTGGAGTTGAAGGACTTACTGCATATTACCCCGGGGTGCGAATATGATGACTCCTAAAAGATGGACGGTGAACTAAACTGAGGAGAGAGACATAGGCTGAAGACGCAGACTTTGGAGCCTGTGGTAGTCACCTAATCTGGTGTCAATTTAAGGATTCAGAGTGTAGGGGTGGAGTCTAGGCTGGCAATCTGGAGCTAGCCAATGAGACTTCTGTGGGCATGGCCTTCTCCTGAGAATTCTGGGAAATCTGGTACTTCCTCCTTGGAGGCGGAAGACACTTCTCTCTCTCTCTGCTACTCCTGGGAGACATTGCAGAAGACAAGCCACATGGATGCAACCAGACCTCGAAGCCGGAGAAGCCACATGGAGACCCCTGCCAGCACTGAGATGCTTGCAACGCCACTTTCTACCCACTGGCCTGTGATCTTCCTGCATTAGGTGTCCTTGCGTGTGTTTCATGAGTCTGAGGAGGACTTTATAGATTGGTATCAGACATATGGGCTAATATCGGACTTATGGACTTGATCTGGACTGGGCTAGGATGTTTTCTCCATGTTCAATTGCTCTTGTATATAAACCTCTTTCATATACACATATGTGTATCCATGGATTTGTTTCTCTAGTCTACCCAGACTAACACAGAGCCTGCCGGACATGGCGGGAGATGGCCTGCTTCAGCGTAGGTAAGATCTCTCAGGAAGAATGTATAGGCTGTGGATGGAAGAGGGATGGGCAGAACGCTGCAAAGTCACCAACATAAAAGAGACCGAAGGAAGACTAGCCGGCAGAGGAGCCTGGGCATCCAGCAGCCACCGCTGTAGGATGGCAACCAGAGAGCAAACCCATAGAAGTCAGAGAACAATGATGTGAAGTCTCTCTTCAAGATGAAGTCTCCAAGGAGCACCCTAGCCATACTTCTTCCAAGACAGATTGGTTTCTCATTTTAGCAGTCCATGGTCATGTCAATGTTCTTCTCCAGCACCGCATTTCAGATGCATCAGTTCTTCTTCCGTCTTCCTTATTCCACGTCCAATTTCCACATGCCTAGCAGGTAATTGAAAATGCCCTGACTCAGGTCGGACGTACCTTGATCCTCAACATTATCTCCTTGCTTTTCAATACTTGAAAGAGGTCTCATGCTGCCGATGGACCCAATTCAACTCATCTTTTGATCTATTGACTTCTGCTTCCAAGAACTTTGATTATGGATCCAAAGACAAAATCTTGGATAACTTCAACTTTTTCTTATAATAAATTAGATGTCTCTTAAGTTACTTAATTTTGTTCTTGTTGAAAATAAAAGCAGAAAAACACATACCAACTCAACTATTTCCGCATGCACACTTTCTTGCTGGAGGCCGGGGTCAGGGTGCATGCATATCTCTGGGCCTGGGATCCTGCACTCCCTGCCCACCAGGGCCCCCCATGTCCATCAGTGACAGACAGCAGAGATCCCACAAGTCCCCATTTCTCTCCTGGTCTGGATAGCTGATGAGGAGAGTGGGTGAGGGTGTTCCAGAATTTGCAGGGTGGTGGCCAGAATCCATTCAAGGCATACAAGTGTGTCATTTGGCCCTAATTTGTTGGCAGAATTGGTGGCAACAGGGACTTTCCAAAGAGTAGAGAGGAAGGACAGGACATCAGCAACAGCCCTCTCTGGCTGGGGACATCAGCACTTAGGGAGAAAAATCCTTGTTCGTTCTCCCTGTGTAAAGGGGTGGGGCATAAGGCAACGGACACTGAGCAAACCCACAGGGTGACAGCCATAGGCACCACACGTCGTGAGTAAGACCAATTACTCTTTCCGGTCCTTTCTGGATGGGGAGGCTGGCTCACTCAAATCGCTTGCCCACGTTCACACAACCATGGACGATCCAATAGTGTCCTAACCCTGTGGTCTGACTCATATGGCTACCCCATACGTGTGGGGACTTCATGTGCAGTGAAAACCAAGAAGTGGTGAGCTGTGTATTTGAGAACTGGCCTTCACGTACCATGCATGGCAAGGGCACAAACAATTCTTGGAAGAGACCCAGAAATGGGATTTCCCTTGTAATGTTTGAATATTGTCTAGACCCAAAGCTAGAAAACTGAGTTCATAGCAGATGAGTCCCACTGGGAATAAACAAACCCCAAATACTGGCTGAGACTCCTCTGTGGTCATTGCTTGGAGGACATCCAAGCCAGCAGAGCAAACAAGGGCGGAAAAACCAACGAGCACTTGGCCAAAGGAGCAACTTCCCACACACCTACTCAAGCGGCCTCTGAGAGCCGGTCAGGTCCACACCGCTGGAGGCCCTTAGCAACCGAGTCAGGACGTCAGGCGTGAGAAAGCACTCTGTAGTCCTCCTGAAGGGCCCGTCTGGTGACGCCTCACGCACTCATCCAGCTGTTAGTTAATATGCCACCAAGCATGTGTAGTGTCCGCTCTGTGTCAGGTAGGGAGGCTGTCGTTGTTAGGTGTCACCACGTTGGTTTCTACCCATCGCGACCCCTGGTACAGTAGCACGCACGGCCGATCCCGCGCCAGCCTCACAGTCATTGCTGTCTGTTTGAGCCCATGTTGACGCCGCTGTGCCGGTCCAGCTCATTCAGAGTCGCCTTCTTTTTGACTGGCCTTTTTTTTCACTTTAGCGATGAGCACAGTCTTATTTTCCCAGGGATCAGTCCCTGCTGATAATAATCCAAAGTATGTGAGAGGAAGTCTCACAATCCTCACTTCTCAGGAGCATTCTGGCTGGACTTCTTCCAAGATAGATTTGTCCTGGAAAAAAACAATGAATTGATGCCTTGAATTATGCTGTTGGAGAATAATATTGAATATGCCCTAAATTGCTGGAAGAACCAAATGAATGACAACATGGAATGTAACCATACCTGAATTGGAACCTCTGCTGTGTGTGTGTGTGTGTGTGTGTGTGTGTGTGTGTGTGGCGGGTGGTCTCACTAAACAAAAGCACTAGGTAAGAGTCAGGAGGGTCGGTGCGTCCTGTGGCTCCCTTTCACACGCCGCTCGATTCTTAGCGCGTGCGCATTCTGCGCGCTTCCCTTCCTTCGGTAACCGTTGCTCTCCTTCGTTAACCTCCGCTGCCGCCCAAAAGGGAGTCGGAAACGCCACAAGGCCGCAGTCATGCCTAAGAATAAAGGTAAAGGAGGTAAAAATAGACGTAGAGGTAAGAATGAGAATGAGTCTGAAAAAAGAGAACTGGTGTTCAAAGAGGATGGGCAAGAATATGCACAGGTCATCAAAATGTTGGGAAATGGACGATTAGAAGCCATGTGTTTTGATGGTGTAAAGAGACTGTGTCACATCAGGGGAAAATTGAGGAAGAAGGTTTGGATAAATATCTCTGACATCATATTGGTTGGTCTACGAGCCTATCAGGATAACAAAGCGGATGTCATTTTAAAATACAACGCAGATGAAGCTAGAAGTCTGAAGGCCTACGGCGAGCTTCCAGAGCATGCTAAAATCAACGACACGGATACCTTTGGCCCTGGAGATGATGATGAAATCCAGTTTGACGACATCGGAGATGAGGAGGACATTGATGATATCTAAGTCGAACCCAACGCTTTACCTTCCATCAGACCTGAGAATTGTCCTACAATTCGGATTTGGGGCTCTCCCATTGTAGAAGATTAAAATTTCATCAGCATGAGTACTATTTATTCAAGCAGGTTGATTTGTTTTTAAGGCATTGGTGTTACTTTTAAAACTGAGAATGTTGAAATATCTTAAGTAAAATGGTAGACCCACTTTGTTCATTTGAAGTAATAGAGTTTCTGGATAAAAAAACCTTCAAAGCTATTATTTAAAAAAATATTTTAAAGCAGTATTGCCTTTTCCAGTTTGACCACTTCACTTCCAGGATCTAGATATTCAAGTTAATTAGTCGCCCTCTACTTATTAAGGGTTTTGACAGATCTATTGACTATACAAAGTCTTTCTGTCTGCTCCAGATACCTATTAGCCCCTGGAGATTTTGATACTGTTTTAAGAGAGGCAGAAGTCAGCATCTAAAGTCAAAATAAGTAGGCCTGTTGTTTCATATTTGAATAGCATATGGCATTTTCATACTGATTTTCATATCACATAATTCGGTTTGTGGCCTTGTGTTGTTACCATTAAGACATAATGAAAATGCATTTCCAAAATGCACTTTGCAAAACCAGTTTTAGTGTCAATTTTTAATTTCTAAAGCTAGTAATTGGAAGTTAGGTGGCACCAAATTATTTTAACATTGGGAATACTGAGTAATTTTGACATGTTTTTTTTTTTAAGTCGGGTGCATAGGAAATTTCCCAAATGGATATATTCTAATGTGATGCATGAATATAGAATGTTTTTACAGAACAAAACACCAATGCTAAATGCGTTCTTTTATTTTCAAAAGTTATACATCATAAGCTATAATTTGGAGTACTTTATAAATAATTGAGTTGTTTACAAATGAAAATCTAATTTCATAGCAATTTATACAAATTTAGCCTTCTTCACACTATCACTAAACTAGTGAAGGAGAATGGAATCATTGCAGCTTAATAAATGGAAAAAGAAGAGTGCAATTCCTAAATGGAAAAGCTACAGTTAAGGAACAAGATCAATCAAGTCAAAGAGTGTATTACATACTTTAAATTAAGGGTTATGTATTTGACTCTGTGGACATTTGTGGCGGAGTTAAGTTTACCCCTTTTTGGAAATGGTCTCAGCTCTGGTAAAGTGAAGATCAAGGCTAGACTAGTTAGATCTCAATGCCCACATTTGAGTTTCATCCAACTTCTGAAGGAGAGATCAATAATGAATTGGTCTCCAGAGAACTGTTCAATGTTGAGAAATAATTAAGGAGAATATAAAGGGGTATAAACTTCCCTTCACATGGCTTCAGAAAAACCAATGTATCTTCCCTAATCCTCTCTGCTATAATGCCCTTTTCTGAAAAATCTGAGGCCAGAAATATGTATTAAGAATTGAAAACTAGGAATATCTACACAAAAAATATGGTATATTTCTTATTTTATGGAGTTCTTAGACTTAATAAGACAGAATGCTTTTGATATTTGTAAGATGGCACATAACGACAACACAAAAATACTAAGTTGAGTTTATAATACATGCCTTTCCGCATTCTTAAGAACATGTGGCTTCTGTACATAGGTTACAGGTTGTGGGAAGGAGAGTGCAACTTACACATTCTTTGTTTTACTTACCCTCCTCTAACAAATATGGTGTGTCTGAAGAGTAATCATTTCACCCCATGGTCCCAATTCATGGATGCATTTCCTTACTAAGTAGTCATATCTCAACCAGTTGCCACATGGAAAATCTCGAGTCCTGGTGGTTACTCACAATGGGGACCCAGTTGTAGCTTCTGTGCAACACACTTGGAGTTATTTTAGGAACGTCTTTCATGTGGAAATTGTCATATCATTGACTTGATTATATTTCGAATAGGGAATGGAAGTGGTCTTCGAGGAAAGTTAGCTTTTTGAAAGACAACATTCTTTGATTCCAGTAATATAGTGACATAACTGTGCCCAGAAAGAAAAGAAAGAAAATGAACAATAATATTCATGGAGTGTCTATTTCTACTTCCCATTAGATTATAAATATATTGTATTACGAAAGTGGCTAAATAACCAAACTAATTCAGCATTTGTGTATCATGACTTGCCAACTTTAAATTGTTTGTTAAATCTTTTTGTGAACATCCAGCTTTTAAAGAGACCTGTAAGCTATGCATGATGGAAAGTCTGGTATTTTGTTAAGGAATGGCCGTTGGCTTTCCTCACCACATCTGTGGAAGCATGGCTATAAATTTATTTGCTTACAACAACAAAAAAGGAGTCATAGGAGGAGCCCTGGTTGGTGTAGTGATTATACACATGGGGCTGCAATCTGCATGGTCAGCAGTTCAAAACCACCAGCAGCAACACAGAGAAAGACTAGACTTTCAATCCCATCACCAGGGACTGTCTGGTGAACCCCCAGGGGTCACTATAAGTCAGCATTGACCCAATGCAAGATAGTAAGTGAAATAAGAGTCAGACTTAACATGTGCTTCTGTGGTGAGCATAGCAGTTACGCTTCATTAAGGTCACACCACAAGTTTGTTAAACACACACTAGATTCCCATTTAAACCATCCTTCCATACGGGCTTCTGAGTCAGCCTTGACTTGATGACAGAGAGGCTTTTTGAGACCACATTCTACATCAGATACTATTAGCAAGTATTTTTTAATAAAAGATAATCATCTCATTCATAAATGAGCAATGTAAGATTTGGCAAATGAGTCTTATAACCGCTACACTAAATTTTCAAAGCAGAACTGTTTTACTCTAACGCCGAGGACCCCACACTACGCACCTCAAGACTGAGAGAGAGAGAAATATTTCTCAAAACCACTCACTGCTGTCAAGCTGATTACAATTCATAGTGGAAAAGACATGAACTGCAAGTGTTGGGTAGTCCAACTTCAGTCAGGCAGAGCAAGGCAAGTAGGATCCAAAATGTTGGCTAAGACTGGCTTTAAGGCCATAAATGTATTAAGGTTACTAGAGATGGTCCCCCTTCCCCCTCCCCATTTACCCAGCATTCTGAGTGTGTTCTCAGAAGAGCTCATTGGGAGGAAGACACTCCAGTGGGTTGAACGTGATGAAGTCCTCCGCTCTGTGTGACGTTTCGTCTTGGGAGTGTTCCCCACGATGATCAACAGGTTGCTGATTTGGATGCCGGAACAAAGGCTCACATCTTTTAAGGAAGAAGTTAGACTCAAGCAGGCAACAGTGGTCATGAGGTAATGATGCAATATGTTAATGCCCAGGTTTATTTTATAAAAAGTAATAGACACCAAGCAGTAGGAGAATATGAGCAAAACCAGAAATCAATTCAATGTTACCATGAGGGCAGGGGTTGGGGTGAAGAGGATAAGGGACAATTGACACATATTTTGTCATGGAGTTTTGACTTTTGGAAGCATGTTAATGTTCTACATATTAAAAATAAATAAATCCCCAAGAATATGGACAAATACTAAACAAGGCAAACAGAAATAAAATAACGAAACTGTTCGCTACAATTAGTATCCCACTGAAGGATTTTAAGGATACAGCCATCCATGGTCTGGGGGTGGAAGGGATTGCCAACGGATCCTGAACTCTTTGGGATCCGTTTAATTTTTCATAGTGACGTAGCAGATCTAACACTATCTTGTGTGTGCTGTGAAAGGGTCGTTTGACCCCCAAAGGGGTCGCGACCCACAGGTTGAGAACCGCTGCCTTAGACAGTCATTAGAAGCTGAAAAGGCAAGGAAATGGATTCTCCTCTCAGCATTCCAGAAAGAATGAGTCCTGGAGACACCTTCATTTTAGCCCAGTGATTTCAGACGTCTTACCACTGGAAGGCTTGTAACCATTAGGTGTCTGTAAAGGCCCTGTGGCTGGCTTCTCCTGCCTCTCAAACTGGAACCAGTTTGGAGAGGCTTGAGAGTTCAGTGAACTTGTCATTCAGCCCGCTACACAAAGCCTCAGGAAAGCTTCGATTATGCGCTGTCACAGGAACGTTTCTCCTCGTGGTGGAACTCTCCCTCAGAGTTTCAATAGCCACAGCAGCTCAAATGCCCTACAATGCTGCAACCGTTCTTTCTCGATTTTCCACTGAATGGGTTTTTCCTAGAACTGTTTTCTTCTCCAGAAAGTCTGTTCCTAGCCTTGAAATGCTTCAGCAGCACCCCACGATGTGTTTAAAATATTGGCTGCCTAGTGACCAGCATTGCAAGTAAGAATGATAAAGCCACAAGCTGTGAGTAGAGGAAACTATATCCAGATTTCATTCTATAGTTTGGAACAAGTCTATATTATAATTCTGTAAGAGCGTGTAATGCTGGACACCAAGGAATTGCCTAAGTTCCAAATATCTGAATGACTACTACAATTGAGATCACTTTGGAACTCACATATATGACTCGTGGTTAACATGTACAATCATAACAATAATAGCTGTCCTTGATGGGAAATTTCCTTTGTGTCTTATGCTGTGTAGTGTATAAGTCATCTGAGTTTTCATACAACTTCATGAGGGAGGTGTTCTTCTCCTTGTTTTTCAGATGAGGTCACCAAGGCTGAAAGATACTCAGAAACTCACTTTGCTTTCAGCAGTCATATAAGGCACAACAAATGATCTCTCATCACCCAGAGCAACAAAGGAAAAAGAAGGCAGGAATGGGGTCGGGAGTGGAGATACGCAACATGTGGTTAATGACCTCCATTATCAACAGCCATAAGACCAGACAAAAACTGGATGCTGATGGCTACCAGTACTCAACAATTTGATCAAAAATTCTAGAGAAGAATTTTTATCAAAAAAGGGGAAACAGAATAGAATTTTCAATTCTCCTGGATTCCAGACTTTCTAAAATCGTGAGGTTTGGATGAACTCCTGAAATTATTGCCCTGAGATAACCTTTAAACCATAAGTCAGAAATTTCCCCAAAATACAGTCTACCTTAACTAATAAAGAAGGCCTGCCTTGAGCAGTAGGCTCTTTTAAGAGCTATCGGTA